TATAGGAAGACACATGTAAAAAGCACATGAAGAAGGCGTCTGTGTGCATGTTTATGTATGTGTGAATGGGACATACAAGCTGAGAATAAGAGGTATTTGGTAATGTAAAAGTCTGGAGAAAACGCTGCGATCCAGGATCGATTGGCAGCGTTGTCACTAGTGCTCAGGCACTTGCTAACATGGATGTTGGCATAATCAGCATGCAAATATTGCCATTCTCCACAAATGCTTTTCAGATCAGTCTATAATTGTTTGAAAGTTTAGGATTTCAATAAGCGTAGCCGCTCAGTGCTGTTGCTTTTAGAAGCCAACAACACCGACCACAGCAGCCAGGGCTTCTCCAGTGGTCATTGCAATGTCCACAACAGTATTTGCTGCTAATGTTTCTGGAAGGTTTTCCGGAATGTGATGTACGAAGTACGCTCTAGTAGCTACCAGTAAAAAGTTACTTTTTTTGCGTTAAGGCTTTTTCTTCAAATATTCCGCCCAACGGCGTTGTGTTTCTTCTTGCCATCAATGAACTAGGCAGCAGCTGAAGCTTCCCCATTTTGCTTTGTTACCAGCTCGTTTCGCACCCGCTGAACTCCACGTAAACGTTTTCCTCATCCAAAGCGCCATTTTTTTTTTCATTTTGCATTCATTTAACACTGCATTGGTGCCATTCAACTTTCCAGTACAAAATTATTACAAAAATTTCTTCAGAATATAACTACGAAAAAACTGCTTAAAAATTGTACACATATTTACTCGTCACATTGAAAAGACGCTGATTACCACTGTTGTCTGCGAGTAAAATGGGCAAATAGCCTGCTTTTTCAAATGGAACCCACCGAACTTGCCGGACAATATTTGATCTGTTTACTTTTCTTTTACTGATGACACAGAAATCTGTTTTGTCCTACTCTCCTCAGTTTGCTGTCCTGCTTTTCCTGCTTCACTGGTTCTTCTTCTGCTGCTTCATCTAGTTGACGAATCAATATTGCTCCTGTTTTCAGTTAACCTATTGAATTTCATCAGATGTTCTCACTGACCCATTGATCTGCTACTTTTACTAGCACTGGCTGGTTCAACATTTTGCACCCACTCTTCCCTAAGTCGGTACGTTTATTTGCTGTGCATTTCCACGTATTTTTGTTTAATTCTGAATAAATAATGGTGCGCATCGTGGGGCTGACAGAGTTTATGCGTTTTTGCGTTTGCTCCGCTCTGGAGTTGCAGTTTCAGTCACGAGGTTATGGGCCATGGGGAAAGAGGGATACACAAGCTCTAAAATCTAATTTTAGCCCGATTACGCTCCAAAGTAAGAATTGAAAGCTTCAAGTTTTCGTCCTGCCTCGTTCTGAAAATTAGAGAAACAACTTAAGCTTAAATTTGAAGCATAGTTCTGGATGCAATTACTTATGAAAGCTGTTTTCGACATTCTACTCTGATCTGAAAAACCGATTTTAGGTAATTTACTAAATACTGTTCGGCGACAAGTACCACCTTCCCCTTCCTTATCTGTTTATCACACCCCCACTCCCCAGTGCGGTTTTTTCTGCTTTTGAAGCATAACGTAAGCTTAAATTTGGTTTGGGGCCATAAAGCCAGGACGCACTGGGATTTCAGAAGTCATTTCAAACTAGTCTTCCCGCATTGTGCTTTGTAAACTCCTGGTTTGGCGCTTGTTTGCAATCTAAAATCATAAAATCGGTCCGAGACTGAAATCAGAGGTCAGAAATATATGAAATTTTAAATCTGATTTCAAACTATTCGGCCAGCACTTTGTTCAAAAGTTTGATAAACAAAAAACTTGAGCTTTATAGTTTGCCTATTCAGAAATTATAAAAATTAGCATTTTTTGGAAACATAGGTCAACTTGGGGAGGGGTTCGAATGCTAATCTTGCAATATTCACTCTGCCGATGAACTGAAATTATTCAAAATTTTTCGTCTGTTTTTGACTTGCAAAATTATCCCGAATTTGCATCCGCTGTCAAAACACGGGAGAGAAAAAAGAGGAGGTGGGGGAGAGGGGGAGGGGAGAGGAGGAGAAGGGGGAAATGAGGAATAAATTAATTTCGGCTTTGTCACCGCATGCACAGTTGATAATTTGTCAAAATTTTATCTTCCGAGACTCCGCAGTTCAGAATTAATTTGGCCCATATATTTTCCACAAGGTCTTCGATGTTGTTGTATTAAAAAAATTTAGTTCTATGCTGCTCCATTTAGCAGTAATGATGAACGGGCGAGTTATGCGTGCAGTACTTGTCCGGAACCAGGACGCTAATGGTGTCGTAAATGATGAAGTGCCAAAATCTGTGCAGTTTGATGAATCCAGTGAGCATTATCGCTGCCTCTGCAATTGCTTTCATATCAAAACAGGAGCGCTTATTGTTGCAGGTAAAAGAAAGAAATTACTTACTGCATCTTTGCTTTTCAGGCTCCTCGTGATTGCTTGCTGCTGAAATTACTTAATTAATTGCCGCAGCAAGCAGCCACGAAGTCGCTGCAAAAGCAACGATGCATGACGCAAAACAACGACTGGGTAAAGTATTTAGACAAAATATAGCGTGATTTTACAATGCTTTATTGGTTGATTCTTATGGGTACGTCTGTGATTTGAGGTAGAAAATCAATGAATATGAAGTATGTTGTTCATTTTCTGTGTCTTTTGCTTCGTAACCAGAAGCACCTCTGATAGCCAACAAGGCAGCATCAGTCCTAAAAATAAAACCCCAGCATCAGAATGCTACTTGAGAAAATATCTCCAAGCATAGAGATGCATTATGATCGATTTGCTAAATGCCATTTGCTCTTAGGAGCTGAAAAATCTCAGCATCAGGACGTCCCGACATTTCTGTGGCTTTTTTTGACTTAAAAATCCTGCTGGATGTGTATTTTTTGACGCATCAAGAGTGGCAAGAGGTACTGGATGAATTGTTAATTTAGTTCTGTAAAAGAGATTTTGTCCTTTTTATGGGGGAAAAAATTTTTTTTTAAAAAAGAGCATTTCCAGGAGCGGAACTTTTGATGTTGCTAATATTCTTTATCAATTCACTGCTGATAATTGCGGAGCAGGATACCAGGTTTGAACGAATCACAGGTATGGCGGCATTTCAATCCCTCTTTTTTTATCATTGTAAATTTTTAACCGCAAAAGTTGCAATTGTTACTTTGGAAGAAATTTTGCTTTTTAAAAATTTCATATTTCGCTTTCAGTTCGTGTTAGAGTTTTTGATTTAAGGTGAATCCATAGTAATGTAACTTTAGCTAGTAAAGTGTGTTCACAGAAATGAGTTATATGTGCATGGCCCAAGTTCCTCCGTTTTTATCAGGTATTGCATTCAGATTCCTAGCGCCTGCTCGATATTGTAATGAATGGTTCTTGCAAGCTCGAGCTGCTGTCTTTAAAATTTACAAAATGCTTTGGAATTTTGAATGCTTACTTACTGTGTCGAGGTGAATAGCTTCGGGAATATATTCCCTCTGGAATATAATTTCAGGCCCAATTTGAGGTTAATTTCATCACTTCACTTCAGTTACTCGAGATGAGGCATACGTGGAATTTAACAGTTTAGCAAACTGTACAAAATGATCCCCACACGGAGTAAAAGCAATTTCCAGTAATCACTGGGGCTTTCAACTGTTTTGTATACATTCTTCGTGTGCAGTTCGCAGTGGTGTTCGCCAGTTGTGCAGCTGTCAATTTCTGCAGAGTTGCTTTGATTAGTGCTGCATGGTCTGGTTGTCAGCCTGTTGGCGATCCTGACGTTCACTTCATTTCTCCAAGTATGCTAAATGAAGCTGCTAAATGGAGCTTTTAAAATTTATTTGTCCATGGGTATTCTCTCTGCTGAATGCATTAATCTGCGTATAACTTAGTTATTTGCCAATTTCATGAGTTAAAATCCGTTTAAAAATAACGAAAATTGTAAAATAGAGAGTCAGTATAAAATGATCGTGCTTAACACTTGTCATATCAGTTTGCAGGGATGCGTGATAACGAAGTTGTGGGACCATTCGCTGCATCGATGATAGGAATTGGCCTTAGTTTTCTAGCAGTGATATTACTTCTTATTGGTATCATACGCAGTATTGCTGCATTTCTCATACCTCATCTGATCATACAGGTAAGCTTTTTTTGTGATTTCCAAGATGGATGTGCGTTCAGTAAGCGTGATTTCTTGGCCACTCACTGGATTTGTCCTACGCTAACCGTAAAACCCACGACATCACTGATAGCAGCAACCACAGCCTCTGCCTCGCTTCTCCAGGTACTTTCATTTTGATTTTTCTCTAATAGCTGCATTACACCAGTTGCCGATGAGGTTTTTGGGAGGTCTGAACTGCCTCTGCCATCATTCGCGTGCTAGTTGAATTTTGTTAGAGACGGCCAACTGTTCATTGAAAAACGTGGAATTCACTGAAAAAAGGAAAAAAGAACGTGGAATTCCGTGCGCTGGCGGGCGGGGGAGCGTAAAATTAATGGAAAGCTGGCAACTACCCGCTGCGACACTGAATGCTCTTCTGCCTTTTACAGATAATAGTAATGGTTTTACTTGTATTTGCTCTGGCTTGTGGCTTCATTGCCTTTTCAACGAATACGACGGTATTTTATCGGTTGATGAATGCAGCATCATTTAAAGAGCATCCTGGGGCCGTCACTGTCGACCTGGACGCCCATACCAGTGCTCGATTTGTCACAGTCTTCATCCTTTATCTTGTTTGTCTCGCATTACAGGTCTGCAGTTTGTAACGCTGCTGCAGAGAGTTAAAAAAGCCAGAGTTCGGAAGCATCCCGAAAGTGGAAAAGGAGATTGAAACTAGTATTTTTGAATTCCTCGGTCCTGAGAATGATAGAACAATTAGGGTGGTTTTGAGCGAACGGGAAATACAGAATAATTGCCCACTGGTAAGCTTACCGAATAACTAACTTTTTTGAGTTAAAATGAGGCGTACTTCTCCTCCACGAATGGATGCCCATTTACCAAATACAAACTTTGATAGTGGCAAATTAAGCTTGTGTTACTGAAGCGAATTCACTACGGACAGAAAAGAAATCCCTCGAGCAGGAACTAACGACGGTCGAGAGCTATATCTCGCGCTGTGTGCAACGAATCCACGTCTCGTACTGGAATTTCCCAGCAAAATATGCGAACGAGACCGAGAGGCATTCTTAGAACAATTAACAGGGAACTCATTGCAGTGCTGGTTTGTGGTAATCGTTTACAACTGCTATCGCTATCTGGAGGAGCGCTGCCGATACATGCACTATTGCCTAGCATTCAGCACACCGATGAAAACACTTTCTTCCCGATGAATGGACCAGTTCCGTGCATAGCGTATTTACCTCACTGATAATAAGCCTAGGTTGCGTCAGAAGTGACAGAGTCAACTTGTAACTCAAGCCTTTAAAACTTAAGGCCGAGGCCCCTTCAGAAACTCTGGAAAAGTTTCGAAAACTGCGATCCTGGACTCCAAAAACGGCATTCTTAATACATCTAGCACCACTCCAGAAAACCAGTAAAAATCGCAAACCTAGCATCAGCATTGGATTATCGATTATTTCGGAACACTGAGAGATGTTTGAATGTCTATCGCTATCCTGTACATACGCAGCTTTTGTAATGAGATGGGCGCATAGAAATGACTACTAGAATAGTTATTGAGCTGTGTAATTATGTATTTAAAACGATGACATGTACTTTTACGTTGTTGTGTATCCATGCCTGTTATTTTTGTACAATATGCGTGTACGGAATAGGTAGTCGTGGGCAAAAGACAAACCGAAATTTGTCCTTTTGGAACACCGAATAAGCTGTTATTCCGCAGTCTTCTGGTGCAAATTTCGCAGTGAAAAATGTTCACGGACAGGTGCATTCAAGCTCATCGGACAACTTACATTTTCATGATCAGAAGATACACACACTTCAACGCCTCAGGGTTTTCGGCAAGCGGAAAATGCATGTAGCTTTTGAAGCCGAAAATTATACAGTTAAGTAATTTTCAAAAAAACCTGGCTCCTGTTTAAGGAAAAGGGAAAAAAGGGAGAGTAAAGAATCAAAAAAGTGGTGCTCAAAAATTGCTGTGCTCTATGGTTACATCAACGTAAAGATGGGAAATATTCCAGAATTTCCACCGCAATCAAGCTTACTTGTAGGCAGAGATGTTGAAATTCTTAGGTGGAGAATGAAATCTAACAGTCCACCGTGAATACGCTGAATATTAATCAACAGCATTAATAACGTCCAAATCGAATTCTTTCAGTAGTGTACTGGCGTTTGCCCATCTACCAGATTCACCATAGCTGCTACCAGCTTGCTTTAAAAATCTCTTGGAAGAAGGAAACACGGATACCTTCGTCAACGATGGCTACTGCTGATAAATGTATCACAGTCCGGTCGACTTCCATGCTTCTCCATTTTTCATATAGAGTAAAATATTAAATGGGACTCTGCCGTGTAAATTCGAAATTATAACTTCGAAAATTGTGCTGATTCCCGTCGCCTTTATAGCGCCGTATATAAGTCAAAGTTGTATTTTTTGAAAAAAAAAACTGCTTGGAAATTTTGTGCTACTCAGACTGCAAGCACCCACTTCATGTCAACATTCATTTTAACGCGTTAGGTATCACCGTTTTGCACGATATCTGTGGTTTAGAGCGGAAATGGTATTTGCAGATGAAATACTCCATGTTTTCTTTTTCTTTTTTGTCTTACTCTGAATATTAACAATGTCTATAAATTAGAAATGAAAAGTGTTTCCAAAAATAAAATTGTTGATATACAGGAATACAGCTATCCCTTTACCACTGCAGTACATTTTTACACGAAAGGAACCCATGCACGCAAGAGAAAAAAAAATTAGAAATAATTAAATTCGGCTTATACACAAACCCTAAAGTCAAATCACAGATATCAAATTAAAACATTTACAAATCATAAAAATAAACATGTAACAATAAAAATTGAGGAGGGAAAAAACGTGCAATGACTCCGACTTAACAGAAGCTGAAAAAGCCACCCGCTTTTCAAACAAGACGTGCCCTGAGGGCTAATTTATAACACAAAAGCATCAAGTTTAAAAATAAAGTAAAATTCAAAAATGTGCAAAATTCCGTGCATATGCAGGACAAACAAACTTCTCTGAAAGCATTATTGAGTAAAAATATTCAGGCGAAGCGGCAAAAATTCTGCTACGAAGATATTGATTGATAAAAAGTCTGTTTTATCAAAATAGCATCAGTTTAAAATTGGGATTAATGCAAATATGCCTTCTGCATGCCGAACATACATCCCGTCAAGATATACAACATACATCCCGTCAAGATACACAATGTATTTTCCTACATATTCGCAGTAAAAAAAAAGAAAAAAAAAACCTATAATTGTGCAGAACAATGCTTTTCAAACACAATAAGAAATTATAATGAGGATTTAGCTGCCGCGTCCACACCCTAGCCTGCAATTAGTGCTTTAACACTTTTCGGTAACTTCTTTATTTTTTATAGAAAAGAGCTTCAGAATGCGAGACAATAGCTGTGGTGGAACTTTTAATAAACGCAAAAGCTTACCCAGAATATAACTCACTTCGTTGGAGAACTCGTCGGTGAATGCAGAAGCAAATCAGATCCAGTTTCATTGGTGAACTTCGTATACGCAACACCAATATCACTGAGTGAGTAACGCAACCACTCCTCTACCACCACCACCACGCCATCCGCAACAGCAGCGTCCCTCGTGACAGTGGGGCGACAAGGCCCGGAAAAATCGATTGCAAATCGTGCATGATACCAGCCGAATCAAGCCCGGCTATAGAAGTTGCCGCTATCATCCAGGCGATTCGTTTTGCTAGAATGGGAAGGGTGCTCTAAAACGGGGATTCCGCCGGATATCAGCACCGACCTCCTGGCACGCCGTGTCCCTTGCGCGTCTTCCGATCGATAACTTTCTTGGACGCCACTCTGAGATGCCAATGGAAAATAGTAGAGGGGGAAAGACACGCTGAGACAAAACAGTACAACGCACAATTTCGAGAGGTTCTCCTCTTCAACAGTAGAAATCAAAAAAATATTAATTCTTACTTACCTGCTTATTTTTTAACGTCTATACGTATTTAATTGTTTTTTAGCATATTTATTAACACATACCTATATTATGTAATATGTATGTATACATTAACCCTATACATTCCTGTACCGCAATAAATTGGCCCCCTCCCACCCGAAGTACTAGTTCCTTGCAAGCATCGGTCCAAAGCCGACCCGCCTTCTCCACTATCTGAGAACGAGTGCAATAGTTCCAATAAAGTCTTTATTCAAGCAGTGAGCAATGATCAGGAAAAGAAAACAACGAAATTGCGCCGAAACGGTCGTGACGTGAATTTCAGGACGCCGCACCAAGAGCGAAAAAAAAGCCAAAACACACTGAGCCACAGCCTAAACAACATTTTCTTTTATATAGCTATAATCACGCCTGGACTGTGTCACACCGATCGCCTATCGATCTTTCCTGCGTGCAGGCAGTACGCAGCACCGCCCTACCACAGCTCTAAAAATTTCTAGGGAGGAGGAGAAGGGGGCATAGCATTCTTACACCGCACCACAACTGGACCTAGTCAGTATGACAGTTGTGACGCTGACAGTGTGTATAAGGGGTAGTGCAAAATAAATGCATATAAATTTGTACAAGGGGTTAATTTCCTGAATGCCAGAAAGAAGGCGACACCCATAAAAAAGAATGAATGAAAATTAATCGGTATGATTCACCATAATCAAAGGCATAAGGAAAAAAAATCCCAGCCCATTAATCCGAACTGATTCTGGTGAAGATGTTGTAACTTCAACACTGGGCATGATGGGTACAGCATAAGGAGCGCAACACCCCCAAACGGTTTCCTGGTGCCTTATCACCAAAACTTGTTTTGAGCATACTACGATCGCGAAAAACCGTTTCAGGCAATGCTTAGACAGCGAAACTTCAAAAAGATATACCAGTTTCTTTTTGGCTGACCACATATGAAGCAGTTTGCTACTTTTTCAGTGCAAACGTGATGCGCCCAGGCTTGCGATTCCTCCAATGGCACTGCTTCGTCCGAAACGGGCACGGCGAAAGGCAGTGGGACCACTTCCTTCACATGTCAAGTGCTCTCGATCGCGATAAATGTCGAGATAGACGTGAAGTTAATTAAGCAACGAGTTTTCTTGGTGAAGCTCCTAGAGGACGGAATGGAGTGAGGACTATCATCCTATAGGTAACCGTCAGAATTTTCAAAATATGGGGAAGATGAACAGTTTTACCAAATTCATTTCGCTTCAAAAACACGCTCTAACACGAAGCACCGATACCTAGAAGTTCTGGCTTTAGTATATGTGAGCTGAAAGTCCAAATTCTATATGCGCGACGATGGTGGTTGGGATGGATTAACAGTCTCTACCACCATTGTTAGGAAGAGTAAAAATTTAATAAAATATATGATGTGTTAAGATGTGTGAAAAATGCGTGTGTTAAATGAGACATGTAACGAACGCAAACTTTTCATCGATACCTGTTATTGACAGCCAGTGGATACTGCGCATCAAGGGATGGTATCCGCGAGAAGGCAAAATATTCTGTCTTTGTTTCTCCCATGCATTTATAAATTTTTCCAGCGTCACGCGTCACCACTTGCCTATGCCCACTTCCGTGTGTTCCTCTGTCTCGCCCAGTCGATAACCAGCAATGTGAACCTGTGAAGAAGTAAGGAACCACTCGGGTGGCCCCCGAAGAGGTGACGCACATACACAGAATAGGCGATGGGTACTAACTGGAAGCATGCAGCTCTATGCTGCAATTGGCAAATTAGGGTGCTCAGCTGTGCAGCAAGCTAGGTAGTTGCGATAACTTGAGAAGACAGAGCCAAAGCACGAATTTCGGCAACGATTAACGACGCAGAGTCCGAGCTGTTCGAACCAAGACGACTATGAAGGACTCGGTGACGATAAGTGTACTGCCGTAATCCCCTCAAGCATGCGCTCGTGTTGTTCGGTGGAACCCGTTTACTATCGGTTGCAGTGGAAGATGAAATGGAACTGCTGAAACGAGCATCTTCTAATCCTTTTTATGCGTTTTGTGCACAGAGTTTTTTCGAAGAGCGACTGGTACTGAGTACAGGCATGCAGCTCAAAACTAAAGAACCTGGCATGGCTGCGCCAGGCGAGTGGAAAAGTCCTAGCAACATCACAAAATAGGATTCCCACACCGGTTGCATTGATAAATAACAGAAGCCAGATGCATCTCGGTTAATTTTCGCACAAGGTTATCTCTCCCGCACCTCCGGCCG